AGCAGGAGGGGGTGGGAGCGGGAGGGGAAACCCAGCAGGAGCACCTGGGCACAGGAGGGGAAACCCGCCACAGCGCCTGGGAGTGGGAGAGGAAACCGGCCATAGCGCCTGGGAGTGGGAGGGGAAACCCAACAGGAGCAGCTCGGAGTGGGAGCGAAGCCTGCCTCAGCTGGTTTCGCTCCCCTCTCTGCTTGGCTCCAGCCACTGGAAGCCCTATTCTTGCAGGAATCTTCCTGCAATGGGCCTCTAGTGATTATAATAAAAAACAGTACTTTTGGTACTTAGGAAAACAGTCTTCACTTATCAGTTGTCTAGTAGGTCACTAGTGATCTGAAAAATTCAGTTATATGGCCCAGCTCTTCCCTTGATTTTAGATAAAATATGTTTTGTCATAGTTGAAAGAGTAGCTAATTGATTTTATAGAATTGATACAGTAATTATTTTCCTTTTCTAGGTCACCAACAATGGCTGGAGGACTGTTTGCCATGAATAGAAGCTACTTCAGTGAACTTGGGCAATATGACAGTGGCATGGATATCTGGGGAGGAGAAAACTTGGAAATATCATTTCGGGTAATTTTATTTTTTTTTTGCATGCTTCGATGTTTGTATGTAATGAAATATAATTTTCATCCATGATCCCGTATTATCTGTAAATTCTCTTTATCTTTATTAAGAAATTATCCTAATGATTGCTACTTTGCCATCATCTGAGATATGGGTAATAGCCATTCAGAATGTCAAAAGCATATAAGCAGCCTTATATTTATAAGAATTCAAAAAGGAATGATTGGGTGTCAATTCAGAGGACTTAATGGCATTTAATATAGTTTTGTTGTTGCTGTATATAGTTGGGATCAGATTTCCCTGATTGCCCAAGACTGTCCGGTTCATAGTGTTTCCCTAGAGAAATTAGTAATAGCTCCCCATTTCACTTTTAGAAGTAGCCCAGTTTATATGACAAATTTTTCATCAGCTCATGTATAGCTTACTGAATCCCTTTCATATACAAGTACCTCCAACCTGAGGGAGAAGAGAGAGGGAGGGAGGGAAAGAACTCAGAAGTCCCCGTTCCCCACCTCCCATCTCCTGATCCAGGTAGATCGAGATTCAGACAATAGCACAAAGCCTTGTGCATATGTCATTTTGTATTTCTGCAAATGTATTGACCACAGTATTTTTACAAGGTAGCTTTTCTTACATAATCTTTCAAATTTTCAAGTTGAAAGGAATAATAGATATTAGTTCAGTCTTATTTTGTAAATAAGGTATTTGAGTCCCACAAAAATTAAAATAACTGTGTAAAGTAACTCAGTCGAAAATAAACTTTAAACCAGAACCAAGATCTTTTATATCTTAACTAGAGTTATTCTGTATATTTTATACAACTTTTTTCTTTAAAAAATTATATATACATTTTATAAGAAAGTACCTATAAAACTGAAATTATAGGACCTGTTAAGCATTCCTTGTCCCTGAGTCCTAAAGATCAAGTTTTTTGATCTAGTAAAACAATAGTGTATGATAGTAAAATAATACTACATTAAGAGTTTACTTTTTAAAAAAAACATACAGATGGTTATAAAAAATATAGCATTTGTCTTTCTTCTATTTGAATAGTTACATCTATTAAGATAAAGCATCTTGCAAAGTCCTATTTAATAAAGATTAGTTTCACAAGTCATACACTGACTTCACAGCACTGTGAGGCAACTATTGATACTTGCTTTGCTTCTGACCAGATTTGGATGTGTGGGGGTAAGCTCTTCATCATCCCTTGCTCCAGAGTCGGACACATTTTCCGGAAAAGGCGACCCTATGGTTCCCCTGAAGGCCAGGACACCATGACACATAACTCCTTGAGGCTGGCACACGTTTGGTTGGATGAATATAAGGTGAGCTTAGATTTCTCATTGAGAAGGAAGAATTAGGCCATCTCCTTTGGGGATGGCTTTGGTTGCTTTTCGCTCTTGCACATTTCTGTTTGGGGGACCATCTCCTTCTAGGTTCCTTTTCTCTCGCTTTTCTTCGCCTAGGGTTTCACTCTTTTCTGTTTTGATCTTCTTTTCATTTTCTAAGTGACTACTCAATAAGAGGTAATGTAGCCAACCCGGATCAGAAGAAACTCTGTTTCTCTTCAGTTTCTTTAGTCGTTCTGGTCCCCCTCCTATAACTCCCACCAAACCTGACTCTGGTCATGTTGTGTCCTTCTGGTCATCTTCTCTGTTAGATGCAGCCTGCAGTATTATTTTCTTTGTAATAGCTTCATTGAGGTGTAATTCACAAACAATTTTTTAGAACATTTTATCACCCCAAAAAGAACTGTATCCTACCCTAGACAACCAGTAATCAGCCACCTCATTTTATGATTTCCCTATTCTGGACATTTTATACAAATTTTGCAATATGTGGCCTTTTGTGACCATCTTTTTTTCATTTAGAATGATGACAGTTTCATCCCTATTATACCATGTATCAATTCCTTTTTATTGTGAAATAATATTCCATTGTAAACATATTGCATTTTGTTTATCCTTTCATGAGTTCATTGGCATTTGGGTTGTTTCCACTTTCTGACTCTTATGAAAAATGCTGTGAACATTTGTGCACAATTAATTTCTTTACACAAGCATTTATTGAGCACCTACTGCATACTACCAGCTTGTGTCAGGTTTGGGGGGATACAAAGATGACTAAGGCATTGCACAGTAATTTTTAACACTGAGGTAAATACAAGTGGGGGGGTCCATATGTGTCCTGTGGGAAGGATGAAGCGGCTTGCTATACTTAGGGAGAAGAGGTAGGCACCTGTCACCCTTCTACAACATTGGTTGCCTCCTCCCTACATTGGACTGAACTCCTTGAGGTCCAGCTCTATGCTAATCATCTTGGAATCACCACTGTATAACACAGCAGCTCTCAAAATGTGGTCCACAGACCCAGGAAAGTCCTGAGCACCCTTGCAGATCATCTGCCGGTGCAAAGCTGTTTTCACAGTCAGATTTGTAGTGAATGTGCCGTGTCACCATGTTGACATCCTCTTAGTGTTCTCTGTTAGTGTTCATAGACATTATGCAGAGAGCACTTGTGCTGTGGGTTGGAGACAGTGGTTGTCACCAGGAAAAATATGTGCAGGCAATCATATGCAGATCTTCAGCCCTGCTGAAGGTGTCCATCAACCTTTTGATGGACCTCCTGCATTTATTATGCTAACTACTGTTCCTAACCTCCAGCATATCCCCCTTCTTGTTTTAATTTAAAAATCAATCACATTCATGTCCTTTTAAATTGCTGCCGGGCATCAAAGGAATCAGGCTGCAGTAAGCTCCTTTCTGGGCCAACAGTTCTTTGAGTCTCCTTTCCAGTATCCAACAGTTTTTTATTGGTTCTCTTCCCAATCACTGTCTAATAGTTTTTCCATGGGTTCCCTGGGACATGACACTAATGATACTCTAGTTCTGGATGGTGGACAAATGGTGAGCAATGTCAATGCGGGTCCGACCTTCTTTGGCCTGGTCCTGGGCAACCTGCAGCTGTGCACAGCTGCTGACTGCTAGCATGGCAAGGCATCTTCACCATCCTCATCTCTGGACTATTTCTCCTCTTTCGTCAGCGTGTTGCTTGGGGCCACTGCTATCTGTGGCTGGAGTAATCTGGGCAGTTCCTCTCTCAAATCCATTGTTGCAGGAATCCACATGTGCTTGGAGTTTTCTGGAAATACATAAGCATATTCTCGACCGAAGGCTAATACGGTGTCCTTTCTATAAACTAGACGCTCGGGATCTTTTCATTTTCCAACCATTTTCCTTTGGCTTATTCAGACACCATGTGTGTCTTGCCATCAGCATTCCAAGTGAAAAAATCTAATAGAAGAGAAACATGGGAATTGGCGTACGACCGCTACCCTTGTCATTGGCTAATCAGCGAGATATGCAAATTAACTGTCAGCCAAGATGGCGGCCGGCAGCCAGGCAGCTTGAAACTAACATGAGGCTTGCTTGCCTCAGTGACGGAGGACTCCAACGTTCCCCGCCTACCGCTGCAGGCCTCTGAGCCTGCAGTTTGAAACATTTTAACAAATACCACCGGACTTCAGCCAGCAGATTCGCAACATTGTAAGCAAAGGCCAGAAACCTACTTTCAGCAGCGGAGGCCTAAGAGCTGGAGCCAAGCCTCAAAGC